TTTTTACAAGGCCAGTAATAAGGTTTGCTCTCTACTGAACATCTCTCCTTGTCCCTCTCTGCAGAGTGGTGCTTTTTAATTTGACACGGCACACAGAGATCGTGTTGCTGATAAAAGCTCTGTGTTCTCTGCTCTGCTGCCAATAAACTGCACGCAATGTTTGTACATTGTCTCTACTTTACTTTTTTTTTTAAGAAACCTGTTTAGAAGTTTGCAAAATTAACTCTATTACATTAACCACACACACTGAACAGCTACTTTCTATGGCCATTATTACATATACTCATGTGCACACACAGACACAGATTTACAGACCTATCGATGGGAACTAGTTGAAATTCAGTGGCTGAATTTCCCTCCTCCCACACTCTCCCCTTTCACTCAGCTGCTGGAGGGCATCTCTGGAGTCCCTGGTTGGCTTAGTGCATGAAGGAACATGCTTTCTGGTTGAAAAAGTCTGTATCATAGAAGAGAAGAGACAACTGTCCCATGAAACAGTACAGCAGTGTTTCCAACCTCAAAATCTGATGTGGTTCTCATGGCTGTTTTTTACAAGGATTGCCCACCTTCCCCCAGAAAAAACACACTTTCAGTGCAAACCTCGTGCCCTTCCCTCGGCATGTGGTTGCTCTCCCTCTGCAGTGGCAATTCCCAGTGCTTAGTCCTGGCTGTTGTGCTTTCATCATGACACTGCCATACCAATTCCACCCCATTACTCAGAGCCCTAATAGTCCATCAGGCCCCGAGTGTTAGCACCGAGTCGGTCAGATGACGCAAAAGTGCCTTGCAAATGCCTATGCAAAAGAGGAACGTTACAAAGGAAGGGGATGGACACCTGTGGTGGTTGGTACAAAACCTATTTGTCTCTTACAAAATAAGATGGTAAATAAGAACTATGAAGAAGAGTTTCTTGGCTTAGGTCACCCGGTAGCACCATTGAAAGGGAGATTTTAAAAATCCAGACAGGCTGCCGTGTGCTGCTGCTGGCACCCTGCCTACTGCAGCCAAACATCCAGCAGTCACAGAAGCTCTGTCTGAAAGACGCATCAGCTCTGCATCCAACGCCCAGGTTTTCCATCACACGAACAAAGAACTGCCCAGAATATGACAAAGTTGCCCTGAATGAAGCACCTGGATTTTCTGTCAGGGCAGCAAGCATGGCCCGTGCATCACAGTGGACACAGGCAGGGCAGACATCCAGCTCTGGCGAGTAGGTAGTTCTCCACGCTCCGTGCACGAGACATCGCCTTTGGGAGCCACACTCTCTTCTGCTTAGCTTACTGACATGATACCCCAACATCTTCTCATAAATACTGGTGACGTGACCGACATTGGTCACCCACAGTTTATAATTGTCCAGCAGAAAGGCTGCAGAAGGAGGGTAAAGGTTTTGGCAAGGTCTTATCTGGCAGCACTGCAAGTGCAGATGGTGCACGTGGGCAGTGACCACTGATGCTCCGGGAGCGGCCTGGAAGGAACCTCAGGAATTATCTTGTCCATCTTTTTGCCCCAAAGCAGCATAAATGGCCAGGGACAAGCCAGGCTGAGGGTGAACAGCTACTGTGGAATAAGGTTACTGGGAGGAAAGCAAGGTGCCCAGTGGCGATGGAAGGAGCCCAGACCATCATCTCTACCCAGTCCCCACAAATCCACCATCTGCTTTGATGTGGGAGCAGAATCAAGCTGCAGTTAAGAGACCAGGAACAGACACCTTTGGAGGGCTGGACCCACAAAACCAGAGGGAGATGTCCCAGGGGCCTCATTAGCCATTTTAATGGTGACTTCGTGGTCCTTTTTGCAAGGAGCCACAAAAACTGCCCAGCCTGCTGGGAGGGAAGGAGAGCACCAGCGCGGCCAAGCCCTGCCAACCCCGTTTTCTCAGGAGAGGGTCTTAAAAAGCGGTTTTCTCACTGGGAGAAAGCAAGCTTGGATGGTTGGGTTGTTACAGCCGGAATCATAACAGGAGGTTGGAAAAACCCCCAGGCTCTCCCTATCTGCACGGATGGCTTAACAGGTCCCAATTTAGTAAGGTGCTTAAGCAGAATTAATTTATCCTAATGCATCTGGGTACATGTAAATCTCAAAGGCGTAAGTCTCATGGAAGCCACCACAGTTCAAGGCATATTTAGGGCCAAGGACCTCAGGGGTTTCCCCGGCAAATCTGGGTGTAAGCTGCTGCTTTAAAGCTTTGCTGAATCCCATCAGCCTGAAAACAGCAGGTTCATCTCTTCCTTATGAAGAGGAAGGTTAGTCCCTTTCTACAGCTCTTCAAACACTATCGGGCGTGCAATCAACCAGGACAAAGCATGGAGACATGAAGAAGGTCTCTACGAAGAAGGCATTTGCGTCTGACTTGAGCCAGTGCTGTGCATGTTGTGTGGCCGATGAAATAAAAGCGATTGCAATCCTTCTCTTCAGAAGACCAAGTCACACCAGAGTGCTTCCTCCTTTGAAGTTGATGCAACCAGTGCTCAGGGCTTCCACCATGTGACTGCGAACCGGCTTTGTGAAAGCTCAGCAGATGGAAACCACAAGCGCTGCCCTGAACCGTCTCTCTCTGATGTGCAAGGCTGGGCACCTGGAAGAAGCCACTTCTTAGGGCTGCGAGGAGGAGCCAAAGGTTGAAGCGCAGGTTTGTTGCTTTCGATCCGTGGGGAAACAGCCTGGCAGCACGTCCTACGTAAGAAAGGATCTTGGGGCTCGCAGCTGGTGGAGGAACACGGATGGTTGTCCCACAAGTGGCATTTTCCCCGCTTTCCAACAAAACCAGGGGCTTGGGGGGTCTACGGCCCTCAAGTGGTGCCTGTATCACCCACGTGGCACCAGGCACTCTACAGCGGGCAGCCAAGCCGAGATATGGAGGAAAGCAGGGACCTGATCTGAACCAGATCCAGCTTTCTCTCAGCTGGAAAAACTGGCAAGTCACTACCCTCAAGGATGAAGGGCCGTGTCTTTCTCGCCATGAAAAGGAGCTGGAGTCTCTCTCTCTGTGCTCCTGCCGGATGGGAGAGCTCGAAGCAGTGGCTGCGTCCCAGTATCTCCGGTCACCATCCCTGATGCCTCGCCTCTGCCCCACCGCAGCTGCATCAAGCCAGCGTGCAGGGCTCAGTCGTGCAGAGAGCAGCACCGCGGCCAGTTGTGCCTCTGATGGCCTGGCTTCCAGCTTGCCCATGGTTATGCCCACCTAAAAGAGTTCATGAAAGTCATGTTGCATGGACCTACCTAAAGGCCTAAGTGATGCTATAGCCCATCCATGAATGCCCTGTTCCTAGGCAGTGCTCCAGATTTGGCTTCAGACCACGCACCCAATTGTCCTCCGCACTACTTGCACCAACACTTCAGCACAAAATAAAATAAATTTCCGAAATAATTCTCCCTTTCACTTACTAGCAAGCAGTCCTGGTGCTTGGATGTCCTTGGGCAGAATGACATGAAGGACGCAGTGCCCAAAAAGCTCGTCTGCTTTCTCCAGCTATCTCAATCTCACAAATGAAAGTACATCTCATTGCAAGACGTGCATCCTAATATACTCGGACCAATGGAGCTACAACGGAACTACTGCATGGTTATAATTGCATATAGTATTTTATAGTTCATTTCAACCCACTATGAAATGAACCTACTATGAGACCTGTAAAAAAAAAAGACCTAGAGAGACTCCACAAGTATTCTAAATCATCGTAATTCCTTTGCATTATTTTTAATTCAAGACAACCTATTTCAAGTTTACAACAGCATTGACTAGGAATCCTCCCAGAACCAGTTAATTTTGCCCCAGCAAAGATGCAAAGACTTCTTAGGGCCAGCCATGCAATCACTTGTGATTCTGTGATTAGACCCCTTTGTTAAGGCAAAAAAGGAACTTTATTTGTTTCCAAGCAAATTCAAAAATCTTTTTAAGAATTTTAATTAAGACGGTACGGTACCTTCTCATTAACAGATATTACTAGAATAATTTAATGTCAAATAGGTGTGTCACAGGAATACGAGGAAAAAAGTTCACTCCGGCTAACATTTCTCAACCTGTTTGTAACACTTCGCTTCACTTCTTTGTTGCATCTCCAGCTATCGTTAGCATGAATTCGCCATGTGCGCCAGTCACATCACACCCAGATACTAAACACAATTATCACCTTCCCTAGGCACATAATTCGGCAATAAATCGCTGTCTGCAGCGAAGTGCTTCCCAGAAATGCCTTATCTTCAATGCCAGGGGCACATGAAGCCCAGCTGGGCCAGTGCCTTGACTTCATGTGCTTGAACCCCCAATTTGCCAGAGCATCCGCCCCCTGACCGAATTTGTCCTCAGCACCATCTCGCGCAGTTCACGCTCCATCGATAAGGAAGCTGCCAACCCCGTCCTCATCAGCTCCGCTCACCAGCACGCGAGCCGGCAAACACGGCTGCGACCGAATCGCCTACGAGAGCCGAAAAGAGGAAGAAATGAATGCTTACAAGAACGCTCCCGACAGATATGCCTTCCTTCTTCCCTGTCGCCACCCGTCATTGCTCAAGAGCCAGCCCTGAGCTGGCGCGAGACCCTGGAAGAGGGCATTGCCACGACATTTTTGCAGGAGGTCCTGAAACATAATTAAACGCTGTGGTGAAACCGAACCGTAAACAAGCCATGAATAAAAACTCCTTGAATTATTTTGCTAAACTATAATTACACAATAAGGAAGCAGATTAATTAAGTAAAATATAAGTCCTGAAACTGAAGCTTGCAAGCAAAGCAGTTTATTTTAATTTCCACATTATTTCGTATGAGATAGAAGTGTTTGCTGTGGGTTTAAAATGTTGGAAGCCATTCCTTGCTGCCAGGCAGACCAAACCCAGTGGATAAATTAAATTTTTGCATCTCAGGCACCTCCTGAAATGTATATAAGGAGAAGGGCTCTGCCTCAGAGAAGCTAAAGGAGATCTCCTTCTTTCACTCCCTGCTCCTCTCTTGCCCTTCTGCTTTGCCGTTACCGCTTCACCTCCCGTCTCCCCCGGCCACCATGAGTCGACAGTGCTACACCTCCAGCTCTCTCCTGGGAAGACGGGGCTTTTCCTCCGCGTCCGCCGTCTGCGGCCTCGGCCGGGGCAACAGCAGCTCAGCCTCCGTCTGCCAGCCGGTGGGACGGAGGTGTGGGAGCGGG